CTTAACCAACTGAGCCACCCAGGTGCCCAAGTGTCTGACTCTTGATCTCAGCTCAGGTCTTGATCTCAGGGTCATGAGTTCAAGCCCTGCACTGGGCTCCACGCTGGGCAGGGAGCCTACTTAAAACAAAACAAAACAAAACAACAACAACAACAACAACAAACCCCAAAAAACTACAAAGGTTGTTAGGAGAGATTGTGATGCTCCAAGAACAACAGGCCAGTGTGGTCAGAGTACAGAGGAGTTGAGTAGAAGGCAATGAGGTCATGAAGGAAGATGTGTCCAGATCAAGCAGAGCCTTGCGGCCACAGCAAAAAATTCAGATTTTATTTTAAGAGTAATGGGATAACATGTGGGGTGGGGCGGGGGGAGTGGCATGATGTGATGTATGCATTCAGAAAGATTACTCAGTCTGTGGTGTGGACATCTGAGTATAGGAGGAGCAGTTCCTCTCTCTTGGTGAGAGAAGATGGTGGTTGGGATGCAAGATGTAGCAGGGAGGTGATGAGAAGCAGATGGAGTTAGGATATATTTTGTTGGTAGAGCCAACAGGACTTACAGAGACCTGGATGCAGCCAACAAAGGAAAGGAAGGAATCCAGATGACACCAGGATTTGGGCCTGGAATACCCTTTAATGAAATAGGAAAATATTTGGGGAGGGAAGTTTTGGTCATGTAAGCTTACGATATTTTTAAAACATCTCAGTGAAGAAGTTCAGAGATATTTGGATATGAGTCTGGAGTTCAGGGTCGATACTCCAGCTGGAGACAGACATTTGAAAGTCATCAGCATTAAAAGGACATTTGAAGTCATGGAACAGTGCAAACTTGTTTAGTAAAAGATCATAGAAAGAGAAGAGGGGAGGGAACAGGACAGATCCCTGGGGGAGACAAACAGCCAAGAAGCTAAAAGGAAAAATTGAGAAGTGTCTCAGGAAGGAGCCAGCTGTGGCTGAGAAGTCCAGTAACATGAGGATAGGGAATTTAACATTGGTTCTGTCAAGATAAAGATCTGTGATGACCTTGATAAGAGCTACTAGGGTGCAATAATGGGGACACAAGCCCACTGGAGTAGGCCAAAGGGAGGACAATGGGGAGTTGAGAAAGCGGAAGCTTGTTGAGATGGCAATAGAGAAATAGGATGGTGGCCGAAAGGGAAGGAGAGATCAAAGGAGAAGTTGTTCTGTGTTGTTTTTTAGCATATTCATATACCAACAAGATTTTAGCATATTCATATACTAACAAGAAGGATTCAGTGTATAAGGAGAACCAGATGATGTAGAGGAGAAGAAGGCAGTTGTGAGGCTGAAGTCCTTGAGAAAACAAGAGGCGTTGTAATCTAAGACAGTATTGGAGAAGTTGTCCGAGGTGGGAACAGAGAGGCTTCTTCCACCCTAGCAGATGGGAAGGAAGAATGTGTAGGTACAGATGCAGCTGGGTTTGTGGACTTGAGGTGGAAGGAAAAGCCAGGTCTACTTTGACTATTTTTTTTTATGAGGTATGTAGTCCATCAGCTTGAGAGAGATGCTGGAGGTGCCAGGAAAGAGGACAAGGCATAAAACAGATAGCTCGGAGAGTGGGAAAGTAAATTTACTATGGAAGCATAGCTGCATCATTTGGCAGTGTCGAGTGCCAATGTGACATCTGTGGTTGTAATTTTAAAGTGATTCAGTCAACACAATTGTGTGAATTTCTCTTGCAGTATTCTTGGGGCTGAGTAAGTGGATAATCAAGTTTAAGCAGGATTGGGATTTTACCAAGCAAGATCAGTGGAAGCAGATCAAGAGTCTTTACAAGGGGTGGTTAGAGCGCTAGCCCAAGAAATCTAGGTTGGATACCGATGGACATGAGTACATGAAAGAGGTGATGGAGGCAGACATGGTAGTGGGTCACTGAAAGAATGATTGTTAGTACAGGACCTAGCAGCCCCGTTGTCAGGTGGATCACCATGCGGATGCTAAAGTTTGAAGAATGATGGCAGGAACAACGAGATTGTGAGCCAAAGGCTGTCATCATCAGTGGCTGAGGGGGGCATGGCTACGGGGCAGAGGGTGCTAACTTACACTTCAAAGAAGCTGGGGGTTTTGAGGGATGAAAGGGAAACAGTTTGGGAGTGAATTGGAGGAGATAAGAAAAATCAGCTTCTACTCTGGCGGGTGAAAGAGAAGCAGTGTCCTCCAAGGAAAGCCAAATTTTAGTTAAAATAAAAAGGTAAAGAGACATTCAGAGAAAGTAAGAGACTAAAAATGTCAAAGAGCTGATGAATTACAGACTGGAGTTTCAGAGAGCAGAGTGAGGAGCTGGGGTGGGGTGGGAGACGGGGTGTAGCACCAGCTAAGGAGCACAGGAAGCACTCTGCCCATCATTCTACATGTATCTACTCACTTCATATGTTAGGAGCTGTACAGAAAATTTGGGAATGTGCTTCCTGTACAGAAAATTGGGGGATGAATGACAGGAGGCTAGATCTTGTCAAGGTGAAAGAAGTCAATGGGTTATATAAAAGGCATGAGGGGATTGGTCTTGCAAGTCAGAGCATGAGGTGATGGGAGATCTCAGTGCCCTTCTCGGTAACAACATTCTGGAGCCATAGAATGTCATGTAAAGATTATTAAGATTATTGGACATGAAGTCGGAAGGTCTAATAATATTACCAATCACTCACTATTGGATCTTGGCACCAATTATTCCCTATTTGACCTTGGGCAAGTCTACATCTGGGTGGGTCTCAATTTCTTCATCTATAAAAACAACCAAAAGATAAATGAAGACAAATGATGTCATGAATATGAAAGCACTTAACAAATTGCAAAGTGTTGAGTGTGACTGTTGTGGTCAAGACCAGTGCTGTGCTTGAAGAAGAAGATTATTTTGACAATAGTGTGCATAACGAGTTAGAATGCAGCAAGACCAAGTGCATGAGAGTTTGAAAAATATTAAAACAGCCCAAGCATGGGGGCACCTGGGTGGCTCAGTCGGTTAAGCATCCGACTCTTTTTTTTTTTTTTTTAAAGATGTTATTTATTTATTTGACAGAGAGAGACATAGCAAGAGAGGGAACACAAACAAGGGGAGTAGGAGAGGGAGAAGCAGGCTTCCCCGCAGAGCAGGGAGCCCAATGTGGGGCTCGATCCCAGGACCCTGGGATCACGACCTGAGCTGAAGGCAGACGCTTAACGACTGAGCCACCCAGGCGCCCCCAAGCGTCCGACTCTTGATTTTGGCTCAGGTCATGATCTCAGGGTCGTGAGATTGAGCCCAGCATTGGACTCCGTGCTGAATGTGGAGCCTGCTTAAGATTCTCGCCCTCTCCCTCTGCCCCTCCCCACCAGCTCATGCCCTCTCTCTCTCTTAAATAAATTAATTAATTAATAAAATTTAAAAAAACCCAGCCCAATCATGGTGAGTGAGGATCCGAGCTAGGGTGGTGGCTACAGCAATCCAAGAAGTTCAGGACAACCTCAGGATTATGATTAAATGATTATGATTTAGTTAGAATTTGGTACAAGCATGATCTCTCAGATATTTTGGGGGGCATGACTGAGCTGGCGCATTGGTACACTGCTGGATAGTGCGTGCTCCAGTGTAGACTACAGAAAAAGCAACAAGTGATGGTCACCCAGGAGCAACGACTTAGCTAACTGAGCTTCTGTGAATTCAGCCCAGTTGCCAAGACCAGCTTGATGCCAATGGCTACCAAGGACCAGCTTTGGGGGCAGGCCGAGTGGGGGTAAAAGGTTCAGGAGTCAGACTTAGGTTCAAGTACCAGCTCTATCAGCTCTGTGACCTTGGGCAAGTTGTTGAAGCCTTTGTTTCTTTATCTGTAAAAATAGGGACACTCATACTTATCCCATGGTACATGTCGTGAAAATTAAATAACTGTGATTATATATGTCAAGAGTGTAGCCCAGAGTTCAGTGGATAATAAGATCTCTATCATAGTAGTTGTGATTATTATTCCTAGGTCTTGAAACTATCCAGTAGCCAGTAAAACATATTGTCTCAATTGGTGTGGCACAGTGAGGGGCTATGTCTAGGGAGGGATTCAATGAGGGACTGATAAATTATGAACGATGGAGTCAGAAATGACCTCAACCAAAGCTGGGATATACCTGACCTTCAACTCTGATGAAGCAAAGACACATCTCTTCTCCTTGCACAGTAAATTTCTTAGGTCTAACTTGTATCATTCCCTGTCTTTCCCAGTGGCTTTGCTCTGTCTTCGGGGACAAAACCCAGACATATTTCTCATATTTTTGCTCAATGGTGGCTTTCAGAAGCCAGCCATTTGTGGCTTGTGGGGGACACTTGTCCTGTGATTGCAATGACTGCCCCTGTTTGATGGAAGCAAAATGGCTAAAAGCAGTCTCTTTGGCTGAAATGTTAAAGCCACGCAGGCCATGTGAGTGCCAAACAGAGACCAACAGCGTGAAAAGAGGAACTCAAAATATAACCCCCTCCCAACTCCAAGACCCAAGGAGGGAGAGCCAGACAGCTCCTCAAACAACATTATGAACAAAAAGGAGTTTGTATGCTAAGTTTCTTTCTCTCAAAAGCCTAACTCTGTACATGGTGGCTCTTCCATCAATATTTGTTGATTTAAAAAAAAAAATTAATGAGGAGTGGGGTGGAGCAGAAAGGAACAAAATATTCTGGGCTTCTAATGGAAACAGAAACACATGTACTGTGTATTCACAGAAATGTGACCATAGGGGTTAGGCTTGAATGAATGAGACCAACTCTTGTGTTTGGCTTAGGAAACCTGTCTCACTACCTTCTAGAACTTCACATCATTCAATCATAAGTGAAACTGGATGTCATGGTTTCTCTTTAATATCCCAGGGAAGGGTAAGTTAAACAAATAATACTCTTTGGACAGTATCTCAGTCAGAAGGATGAAGAGGTTATGCTGGGATATCAAATAGTGACAAAATCTCGCTGGCTTCCTACAGCAATGGCATTATTTCTTGCAATTCAAAGTCCGCAGTGGTCCTGGCCTCCTTCTGGGCAGCTGTCCTCCCGATATTGGCACATCATTCTAGGCTGCTTCAAATATGCGGCTTCTCCAATATCAACATCTGCTGTGACTGTTGTGGTGGGCAAGGGTGGGAATGGAAGGAGGGCTTGGAGAGCTGAGAAGTAGCAGTTCACAAGGCCATGACCAACTTCAAGGTTGAGGAAGTGATTCCTCTCATCTGCCTGGACTGGAGGAGATGGGTAATGCTGAATAGTGGTGATGGCCACCACCAACAGATCCTCAAACCACCCGAGTTACCAGCTCTCACTGTGTTTTCTTTGTATTACCCCTTTAAGGAAAACCAAATGAGTACTTTGGATTTGCAATTCCAAAAATCTTCAAGACCTTTCCAGATTCTCCACTCAGCATTGCTTCCGACCTTTCAAATGTATAGTTTGTAAAGAAAACTTTTTTTCGAGTATGAAATAAACGAATCTTTTATTACTTAAGATGCAGTGTGCCTCCCATCTGGAAATTTACCTGTTAGCCCTGTACCAAGTTTTGGGATGTGGATTGGCCCTCAAAAGCAAGTTCCTGTTAAAATAAAGGACCTTTTGCATACCTGTACAGTAAATTTCTTACTGGTCTGAATGGGATAAAAATAGTCCCAGACTAGTCCCCTTTAAAATATACAGAGAAAGCATTATTTAGGAGAAGTCTGGCCTACTTTTGAGGTCTTTCATTATGAGCCACAGTAAGTAATAGCTTAAAAGTTACTGAATTTTTACTATGTCAATTTACTGGTGGTGAGTGCTTTGCATGCAGGTCTCATTTAAATTTCACAACACCCCAAGAGATACACTTTTATTATCCTGATTTTTCACATGAAGAGACAGGCTTGGAGGGTCACTTAACTCTTCCAGACCTTCCCAGACCAAGGTTTGGACCCAGATCATCTGACTCCAGAGCCTTCACTCTTAACCGTCATCCTAGACTGACTCTCATCTCCTCTGAAAATAAGTCTTAAGGGAAATGGAGTGAATATTGCAGTCTGCGTATGAACAAGCATTCTGGAAGCCCTGGCCATCAGGGTTCTTGTGTATCCACTCAGTCCTGGAGAACTGCTGAGCAGTTATCCCCTGCCCCGGACATCCAGACTGTGTTCCTAGACACCAGGTGTGTGGATGGAATTCTGTTCCCTGAGCCTTTCACTAACAAAGCACTCTATGTGTTTCTTGTGTCTTCCAGTTGATGGTCCTCCAATGGAACCCTCCCAGTTTGTTTCAGTTGTCCCTAAATATCCAGACAAGATGGGATTTGATGAGGTAGGAAAGGTGCCCGTGTGTGCATGTGCACCCACGTGCATTATTGTGGCATGTTTACATGTTTATTTTGGAGTGTGAGCCTGATCTTACATCGGAGAGTCAGCAAAACTGGCTTGGCTGCTGAAAAGGCACCGAGGTCTTGGGAAAACAACCCAATTTGTGTCATGTCTCAGCTTTCTTATCTTAAAAAAGGAGCATTTGGGGTGCCTGGCCGGCTCAGTCAGTGGAGCATGCGACTCTTGGACTCGGGGTCGTGAATTCAAGCCTCATGTTGGGTGTGGAGCCTATTTAAAAAAATAAATAAAAATAAAAGATAAAAAAAACGAGAATCACATGTACCTGAAACTAATGTAATATTGTGTGTCAACTATATTCAAATAAATAATTTTTTTAAAAAGGTAAAAGGTAAAAACAAATTAATCATTGGGTTAGAAAGAAGTTAGTATTTAATCATGAGTGAATTTTATGTTTTTCTAGGAGCAGATACTGCTATATTTTGTAAACCTTTCTATAAAGATTCAAGGGTAAAGAGGATAATGTTTTAAGTATTAGAGGACCTTAACTTTATTCTGAGTGGATAGAAACCATTCTGGAACAGTCTGTGCTTTATTTTCTCTGTGCCGTTCTTCCATGGAAAAAGGTTGAGGGCAGGGTTGAGAGGAAAAAGAAAAAGAGAAAAAAAGAAACCTGTTGTAAAATTCTGCCTTTCAGTGGGTAAGAACTTCATAATAGCACTCCGAGGGCCATATTTAATATAAAGTTTTGATTGCATGAAGAAGGAAGCAAGAATATAAAGAGATACCTCTCTTGGTAATATACACAACAGCTACTTGGGAGTGGCCGAAGTGTGACTCCAAGTCACTGAATCCTTTGCGGGTCCCTTATGTCATGTAGCTGCTGATCAGGATTCAAGACTTTGGTGATCTAAAGAGTAGGACGGTGCCTGAGGAATCCACACACTGAGATAGAACTTTTCCATGGATTCTGGGTATGTTATAGGCCAGGCTTTGCGCTGTGTGCTCTTGCCATTGCTCCAGTGAAAGAAAAAGCCTTGCTTATCATTCTGTGCTGGGTCACACATGTCCCCAGGTACAGCCATCTAAAAGCTCCTGGGATGGGCATTGGTATTTCTTTTATAAAATTGATATGAATCTGGGCTTCAGGAATGGAAAAGAATATTTCATGAATATTAAATAGAAAGAGTTAGCAGCTATGATGTTTCCACAGAGGGCAGAATGAGAAGAGATGATTTTAATGTGGAAGAGAGGAATTAGAATAAAGTGCAAATAATTTTTAAAAACAACTGGGGCTGCAGAAAAGTTTGGTCCACACCACGCACTGTCCCAGCTTCCACATCTTACTAGAGCTGTCCTTCCCTGCAACCCTCATCAGCCTTCAGTTCTCCAGGTGAAAGAACACAAGTGTCTTCACATAGACTCATTTTTCTAGTTAAACACATTCCTATGGGGACCAAGCCGAAGGAAATCAAATGGGGCAAAACCAGGATCTTCTAGCTCTGGCCTTCCATTTGGATGGGGGTGTAAGTCCTGGGTCACCCTAGAAGTCTTTGGAAAATGCCAACTCTAGGAGGTGATACAGGTGCAGGAAATAATTAACCTGGGCTCTAGAAGAGAGATAAGATGGTGGAAAAAGGGATTTTCACAGGCCTTTCTCATTCTCCCAGAACTCCATGACCTTGTTGGTAGTGTCTGGGTTGCGTTTGGCTCTGTGGCTCTTTCTCTGTTTACTATTCACTAAGTATGAGCAAGCCGTCTGAGTTTTTCCTTCATGGCTACAATTTTTACTGCACTTGTCCTGGCAGAAGCTGGGACTGAATTATTATTTACAAAAGTCTTCCCAGACTAGAAGTCTCTGGTTTGAGGGGACTATTTGTTGTATTTCTGTTCATCTGGGGGGGGGTTGTTTGGGTTTGTTTTTGTTCTCCTGGAGTGACCTTGGGCAGCTCCATGTACACACAGGAGGAAATGCCCCTTCCTTTCCATATCTTTTAAAATTGTGGGATGAAACATGGCCCATCACACTGTGATCCTAAACAGGAAGAACGTGAAATGTAAAAGAACACAACCCATTAAGTTATGAAGTCCCAAGTAACAAGGCAAATAGAGTCACCACAGAATTATGTTTTAAAAAAAAATACTCAGGTAATCAAGAGAAGTAATGAAATCATGATGCACTGAATTCACTTTGCCCTAAATTAAGTGGATAATTTCTTTCAAGAGGACATCTTGTTTTCCCATCAGTTTCTTTGCTCAGAGCTTTACACAGGGATAGAAGTGAGGATATTTTGGAAGGAAGGGTTGAAATTTTAGTGCAGGTTTTGATCCAGTAAAACATAGAACATAGTGACGATTACATTCAGAATGACTATGTGAACCAAAGCTTCATCTCCAGTAAAGTCTGAACGCCAGGCTGGTTACAAGACATAGTTTCTTCTTTATTCTAGGCATGACATAAAGCAAGCTTTATCTAAACCACATATCATAGGCATTTTAATCTGTGTTGTACTTGCAAGATGAAGTTGTTCAACGCCCCCTTTAATGAACAAGCGAACTGGACCCTGAAGCATTCAGTGTCTTCCTCAAAGTCATCTGGTGGTTAAGTCAAGATGAAGCCAACATCATTCAACTTATTCCTATGGGTTTCTCCTTTTCCATGCTACGTGTCATCAATATTTCTTGCTGGCAGCTGAAGTCTCGTACTTTAGAGGACTAATTTAATGTTCAGAGCGAGTTTGTTACTACTTGTAGCAAAAGGACCTTGGGAATACACATATTTACCTGTAATAGCGTTCATGAGTCTTGAGGTATTTCTGTGGCTCCTTAAATCTGAGAGTAGTCAGGACTGTCTCACTCTCCATAACTCCCTGCCATGGCTTCATGATATGTATGTGTTTAGGGCAGCCATCAGGAATGTAGGGGCTAAGATGAGGGGCTAAAGATGGACCCAACCCCCTTGGGAAGGAATCTGGATGCATATTCTTGGGGACTTCATGGACTAGTATGTTGTGGAAATGATGCTTTTCCATTTCTCCCTTCCGTCAAAGGGCTGCCTCCAAGGGTAGGGCCCCTTCTCTTTACTTCTTTCAGAGAAATTCCCTTGTCTCTAGGGGAGTTGAACAATTCTGGCCAAGAAGCTCTTAACATTGAGACCTTGATAATTCTGTTTGGAACCTTTGGAAATGCAAGGAATGTGTTAAGACTAGATTTTTCTCATTCCTTGAATGACTTGAAATTTATTAGAGTGGATATGAACTTTAAGAATAGCTAATATTTAGAACCCATGAGATAGGACCAGTATCACCCCAGTTTTACAGATGAGGAAACTGAGGCACGGGAACTGGGCCAAGGCACTTAGTAAATAACAGTCAGGATGTAGACTTACGTCAGCTGACAAATCTAACACACTTGCCCAATTGCCTCCTACCTCGGAGTCTTCTATTTGGGGTTTAATTCACACTTGGCCTCCTGAAGAGTAATTTTTTTGAACTTTCCTATCTCAAGAACACGGCAAACCTGTCCACCAACAAGCATCAGAGAAACAAAGAGAGGGTGAAGTCACTGCAGATGGTTCGGTTTCGAAAGTCATTCTGTTTGATTTAATATGATTTGACTTGATATGAAATACAAACAGATCTTCACCACGGTTTTCCCTATTTTCTTCCACTCCTTATTCTAATTAAAATTTTGGTCCTTACATTTACTTAACTTTTCAAACAGCCTAAAGTAAGACTTGAATGATCTGTGTTTCTTTTCCTTTTTTCTTTCTGTGTTAGATTTTCATGATCAACCTCAAGCGCAGAAAGGACAGGCGGGACCGGATGTTACGCACCCTGTACGAGCAAGAGATTGAGGTCAAGATTGTCGAGGCTGTGGATGGAAAGTGGGTTGGGTTTTTCTCTTGAATCCTTGCAGATATGGCTGGAGTGGGGAGGTGCCCTCTCTGACAGAGGGTTAGTGCTCAGCGGGAGGAATCTAGAGTCATTAGAAGATAGACATATTGTTATAACGGCCACATGCAGCCTACTTTGGGAAAAGCTTTATGAATGATAGCAGCATTTAAATTAATTTCACCATGTAGAGTAGGCCTGAAATCCACTTAACATCCAGGGAACTCTGGCCTTCATTATGCTGAAGGCTCACAGTGGAAGTGATTTTCCCCTTTCTCTGGGGGTTTTTGCAATGGTTGTGGTGGTTTCCAGCTTTCCAAAGTGTATTGGAAGGAATGCATTTAGAGTTGCATTTAGAGCCTGATTTAGAGCAAAGTGGCCAAACTTGGGCCACCTGAGGAGAATAAATGAGGAAAAATGCATAACGATCTGTATATCCTGTTGTGTGAGATCTTACCATAGCCTGCCTGGGCTGATCACCTTTCCCAAGAATATGGCAGGAAAGTCCCACAGGGAACTTCGTTGAATTCCTTCAAGAGTTTTGCTATAGCTGTTGTTTATTATTTTGCTTTCCTTTGCCCTTTTATCTGACACTTTATTTCAAGGCGTAGATTTTTGTAAAACCTGCAGTTCCATGTTTTTTCTTAGTTTGGAATGTGAACGGCTCTAAGGAGTATGGCTAGAAGCTATTGTGAAGCTTCTTATGACTTTCAGAGAATTTAATCAGAGTTTCTCAGAATGTGGCCTGGACACCCATGTCAGGTCTCCAAGGTTAAGAGAGAGCAGCTTCCTGAGTCCCAGCCCAGGGCTGCTGAATCAGGACCTGGGAATCTGAACTTAAGCCTCAAAGTGATTCTTAGGTAAGGTTGCCACATAAAATATAGGACACTCAGTTAAATTCATCCCAAACATTGCATGGGCTTACACTAAGAAATTATTCATCATTTATATGAAATTTAAATTTGACTGGATGGTCAAATTTAAAAGTAAAGTAAATTTGACATGGATGTCCATGTTTTACTTGCTAAATCTGGCAACATTTTCTTTGGTGCATGAGAGTTTGGGAACCACTGCTTCAAATACCTAAGAGCCCAGATTTTATTTATAGGCCACATGGACCAGGGGAAACTAGTTGAATTGTAAGAGTTCTTTATTTGTTCCTCATACAAGTCTCTTGTCAGATATACAGTTTGCAAATATTTTCTCCTATGTGTTGTCTTTTCAATTCATAATGGCATCCATTGCAAAACAAGTTTTTTATTTTGATGAAGCCCAATATAGGTGTTATAGGTGTATTCAGAATGTTTATTCCTTTTTGAGTCATTGATTTGTAATTTTCTAACAATTCATTAATCTTTTCCTAGGTTATCTAAGTTGTTGGCATACTATTGTTCATAGTATTATCTTATAATCCTTTATATTTCCCTAAGGTCAATAAGTGTTTGCCCACTCTTTCATTCCTTTTTTTTTTTTAATAGTTTGAGTCTATTTTTTTTTTTTTCTTGATCAGCTTAGCTAAAGGTTTATCAATTTTGTTGATCTTTTCAAAGAACCAACTTTTGGTTTTGTTGATTTTTTTCTATCGTTTGTCTATTCTCTATTTCACTTATTTCCACTCTAGTCCTAATTTTTTCCTTCTGCTTGCTTTGGGTTTACTTTGCCTTCCTTTTTCTAATTTCTTAAAGTGGAAGATCAGATTATTCATTTGAGGTATTCTTTTTTAATATAGGCATTTATGGCTATTACTAACCCTCCCAAGTACTACACTAAGTGCATCCTATAAGTTTTGGTATGCCTTGTTTTCATTTTCATTCATCTCAAACTATTGTCTCATTTCCCTTGTGATTTCTTCTTTGACCCATTAGCTATTTGGGAGTGTGTTGTTTAATTTCACATATTTGTGAATTTTCCAAATTTCCTATTGTTATTGATTTTTAATTAATTCCATTGTGGTCAGAGAACATGCCTTATATGATCACTGAGGCTTAATTTATGATCTATATGGTTTTTATGGTTTAACACAAGGTTTTTCTTAGAGAATGTTGCATGTGAACTCGAGAAGAATGTGTATTTTGCTGCTGTTGGGTGTCATGTTCTATAGATATGTCACGTCTAGTTGGTTTGTGGTGTTGTTCAAGTCTTCTGTTTCTTTGTTGTTCTTCTGCCTTGTTGTTCTACCCATTATTGATGGTGTCTTATTAAAGTCTCCCAGTATTATTGTTAAAAGTATCTTTCTTTTCAGTTTCTCAGTTTTTGCTTCATGTTTTTGCTCCGGTGTAAGGTGCATGTATAATTACAATTTTTGTCTTTCTGATGGGTTGATTTTTTATTAATCTTTATCTCTAATAATTGCTTTTGTTTAAAAGTTTACTTTGTCAAATATTAATATAGCTCCTTCAACTCTCTTGTGGTTATTGGTTACATCCTATTTCATCCTTTCACTTTAAACCTATTTGTGTCTTTGAATCTAGTCTGTCTCTTGTAGACAGCACATAGTTGAATCATGTTCTGAAAAACTCATTCTCCTAAGCTCTGCCTTTGATTGTAGGGTTTAATACACTCATATTTAATGTACCCAATTTATGTCTGTCAGTCTCCATTTGTCTTCTATATGTCTTACATCTTTTTTGTCACTCTGTTCTTCATTATTGCCTTCTTGGGTTAAAAAGATATCTTCTACTCTATCATTTTAATTCTCTTATTGTTTCTTTTACTACATTTTTGTAGTTATTTTCTCAGTGACTGCCATGGAGATTACAATGACCATTTCAATGTATAGCAATCTGGTTTATATTAATACAAACCTCCTATAAGAAAACATAGGGGATAAGGTCCTCAACATTAGTTGTGCCAATGGTTTTTTGGATTTGACACCAAAAGCAAAAATAAACAAGTGGGACTACATTGTAAAAGAAATTATCAACAAAATGAAAAGGCAACCTACCTAATGGGAGAAAATATTTGCAAATCATATACCTGATAAGGGGTTAATTTCCACAACATATAAAGACTCATACAACTCAATAGCATAAACAACAACAAAACCCAAATGACTTGACTTAAAAAATGGGCAAAGGATCTAAGTAGACATTTTTCTAAAGAAGACATTCTTTAGACAACAGGTACATTAAAGGGTAGACGACAGGTACATTAAAAGGTACTAAACATCACTAATTATCAGGGGAAGGCTAATCAAAACCACAATGAGATATCATCTCATATTTTTGAGTGGCCATTGTCAAAAAGACGAGAAATAACAAGTGTTGACAAAGATGTAACGAAAGGGGAACACTGTTGTATTGTTGATTGGAATGTAAATTGGTGCAGCCACTATGGAAAACAGTATGGAGTTTCCTCAAAGAATTAAAAATAGAACTACCATATGATCCAGCAACTCCACTTTTGGGTATTTATCCAAAGAAAATGAAAAAACAACTTCAAAACAAAACAAAACATATGTACCCCCATGTTCATTGCAGCATTTTTTACAATAGCCAACCTAAGAGTCCTATCAGTGGATGAATGGATAAAAAAGATGTGGTACATATAACTGTATACAATGAAATATTCATCCATTAAAAAAGGAAGTCCTGCCATTTGTAAGAACATAGATGGCTTTTGAGGGCATTATGCTAAGTGAAATAAGTCAGACAGAAAAAGACAAATACCAGATGGTCTCATTTATATGTGGAATCTAAAGAGAAAAAAAAACCAAGTTCATAGATACAGAAAACAGAGGTGATTGCCAGAGGCAGTGTTGGAAGGTGGGTAACGTGGATAAAGGGAGGTGAGTAGGTACAAACTTCCATGCTGTGTACAGCATGGTGACTATAGTTAACAATACCGCGTTGCTTATTTGAATGTTGCTACGAGAGTAGATCTTAAAAGTTCTCATCACAGGAAACAAAATTTTGTAACTATGTGGGGTGACAGATGTTAACTAGACTTAGTGCGGTGATCATTTCATGATATATACAAATATCAAGTCAATATATATCTGAAACTACTATCATGTTGTATGTCAATTATATCTTGATTAAAAGAACCAGCTGGATTTCAGTGGTCTGCAGAAGCTTAGCTTCTATACTGCTTCATTCCTTTCACCATCCTTTGTTCTACTGTTGTGAAACAATTTACTTCTTTCTATACTATATGCCCTTTAACAGAGACTTACAATTATTGCTTTACCCAGCTATAATTGAAATCAGAGAATTTAAAGAGAAAAAAGTTATCAATGAAAAACATTTATACTGTCATTTATATTTACCTATGCAGGTACATGTCCCCATGCTCTTTATTTCCTTATATGGATTTATGTCACTCTCTAATTTCCTTTCATATCAGCCTTAGAACTCCCTTTGGTATTTCTTGTAGAGCGGATCTGCAGGTGACAAACGCTCAGTTTGTGTTTATGTGGAGATATTTTAATTTCTCCCTTATTTTTGAAGGACAGTTTGACTAGATATAGAATTTTTGGTGGACAGTCTTTTTCAGGGTAGCACTTTGAATATGTCAACCCACTGCCTTCTGGCCTCCATGGTTTCTGAGAACCAGCTGTTAATCTTGTTGAGAACACTTTGTATGTAGGGAGTCACTTCTCTCTTTCTGCTCACAAGATTGTCTCCGCTATTTTTGTTCTTAACTTCAAAAAAAAATTAGGCCCAAAGGAAAGACATGCACATGTACACAGTTCTTCCTGTCCTCATCCCCTCCAGTATTTAATGCTATTAGCCACTTGTCCTTCATTAGGAAAATACTTTTTCAAAGCTGTCAAAAAAACTGGTAATACTTAGAACTACGTTGGCAATTGTGAGGGGTATACCCAGTATAAGACATCCTCTTGTCTTTGCCAAGCTTGTAATGCTGCCGTGACACGTTAACCCTGAGGGGCTCCTAAGGGATGATGAGAAACCTGAGAAGTCTTCCTCAATTGCAGAAGGGCTCTGAGGAACATCCAGAACTCTCTCTTTCTGGCTTCTGTAGGGGGGACATCTCAACGTGTTAATTTTCAGACATGTTCTCTGTCATGCAGAGCACTCAACACAAGTCAGCTGAAGGCCCTGAATATTGAAATGCTGCCTGGATATCGAGATCCCTACTCCTCTAGGCCTCTCACCAGGGGTGAAATCGGCTGCTTTCTCAGCCACTACTCTGTCTGGAAAGAGGTAAATAATGCTTGTTTTAGATATGCAGTTTTGTAATAAGGAGGAAGGAAAGTGGGACTTTGTAGGTGAATTACAGCCAGATATAAAGTGAAGCCATAACTGTTCTGGAAGTATGCTTGGAAGTTTCTGTTACCTCGTGTCTCCCTCTGACACAAGGCCAGCAACAAACAGTGAAAGGGAGCCTTGTTGCCACTTGAGATGATAACAGGGGAAGATACCCATGTTCAGGAGGCCACACTCCTTTTGACGTATCCTTATCCTTAGTAGGAATGCCTTGTATTGTATGTATCTAGCATGTCATCATTTATTAAATGATTTCATACAAGAAGTCACACAGGAATCATATGAAGTGGGTCAGGACACATGGGCTCATTTTATCCAAGAGAAAATAATTAAATATCTTGTCTAGGTAAGAAGTGGCAAAGCCAGGACTTGAACCCATGGCTTAGATGGAGGGAGGTATTGGAGTGTGGGGCTGTTGATTAAGGGTCAGTTCCCACAAGAAAAGAGAAAGTCCCTAAAGAAGGACCCCTTGACTGCCTTCCCTCTTTGAACGACCCAGTCTATGCCTATTTTTTTTTTCTTTAAACTTTAAGTGAAATGTAATAGATACATATAAAATTAAATAGATCGTAAAATACAGGCCAGTGAAATTTCACAAATGAAATAAAAATACAGCCATGTCAACCAGCACCCAGCTCAAGAAACAGGTTACCAGCACCCCAGAAGCACCTCCTCCATATTTCCTTCTAGGGAACAGTCCCCAAGGGTAATCACCATCTTGACTTCTAACAGCACAGAATAGTTTTTTCTGCTTTTGTACTTTTGTTTATATGAATGGAACCATAGGGTATTGAGGTATAGCCTCTCAGGATTACATTCGGGAGATTCATCTATAACATTGCATTTAATTGTAGATTGTACATCCTCATTGCTGAAAATATACCCCAGTTTATTTATCCACTCTACCATTGATGGCATCTGCTTAGACTCCAGTTATGAGCTATTACATACTGTGCTACTATATTCTTGACTTTTTAATATATATTCACCTAATAAAAAATAGGTATTGGACTTCTCATAAGGTCTCTTCCCACTGATGATCTTTACAGGTGATTGACCGAGAGCTGGAGAAGACTCTGGTTATTGAGGATGATGTGCGCTTTGAACATCAGTTTAAGAAGAAGCTGATGAAGCTGATGGATGACATTGACCAGGCTCAGCTGGATTGGGAACTGATGTGAGTGGCAAGACAAGCTTATCCCAGAACACTGAGAGGACTCAGTCCTATTCAAGGGCAACAAGCTCCACCTCCCCAGCTGATAGGAGATAGAGCTCACGCTTCCACTTTGCCAACTTTCTCTCCATAAATGTTCCCACAAACAAGAAGTGAGTGGAGGACAGGCCCTGGTTTCTGCATCTGTATACTCTGTGGGCTGAGAAAGAAACTGTGGGAGATTCTTGGTGAGACCTGGAGCCTGCCTGCTGGTGAGGGGTCTTCAGCCTGAGCGCTCACGTGGGAGCACAGCAGAAGTCCCACCAGGGAAGCAACAGGTGCATGGAGAGGTGTGAAGAGAGAGGGAGAGGCATTCATTCAAGGGCAAGAGTCCTGTGTTACACTTGAGAGCAGGTTTCCTCTGTAGCCTCTGAGAGTATGGGGGCTGAAGGTCAGCATGAGAGTGCCTCTCTTGGGAAGGGAAGTGTGCAAAGGCTTACCAACGTAATGCTGGTTCTGAATTGACACTTAGTTAATGCTCTGGTAGCTGTCTCTGGGAATTAAGTGTCTCTCTGTCTCTCTCTCTGTTTCTCTCTCTCTCTCTCTCTCTCTCTCTCTCTCCCCTTCTCCCTCTCCTTCCCTCTCTCCCCCTCCCCCTCAAGCTGTGTCCCCCTCCCTCCCTCTCTTCTGTCTCTCACCCCCCTCTCTCATTTTCTTTTTAAACCAAATGACACTTTTTACTTTTGTCCAGTGAGGCAGAAAGTTCCTAAGCATTATGTATGCTCCCCAGCTGTGTGTCGAAGGCAATTTCATCAAATCAGAGCCTGTTCCTTTGGAGTGGCTGCAGCAGACAAGCTGTCCCTCCTCCTCCCATCCTTGGAGGGAAACTTAACTGTGGGCCCAAGTGGAATACTTGTTCTCTCAGAAAACATACCATTCTGAGCCCAAAAGAAACCTAGTAGTGACTCAACTAATCCATGGGGAAGAGACCCAGAAATCAGTATTGTGTAATAAAAAGAGACTGGCTCCCTGTCAGATGTCAGCCATGTGATTAGATTCTGCACTGTCCCTTAGGATCCTTGTCTGTTCCTATAACCCTCCAGAAGTCCCTGCACCTCAGTCTGAGTCTAGAGCTCTGCAGCCGGTGGCTACGCCTCACGGGCACGGAGCCTGGAAGCCATGTTATGCTCACATGACCTGCAAAGACAACTTTCACTTAAGCCTCGGAATCAGAGGACTGGACTTGGGGAGTCTAAGACTTATGATTGACGCATGTCCTTGTCCACTTGTGGCTTAGCTGGTGCATTTCTTGGGACAAAGAACCAACAGATTTGGGATGCCTGGGTGGCTCAGTTAGTTAAGCATCTGCCTTCTGCTCAGGTCATAGTCCCAGGGTCCTGGGATCGAGCCCCGCATCGGGCTCCTTTCTCAGCAGGGAGCCTGCTTCTCCCTCTCCCTCTGCCCCTGCCCCTGCTTGTGCTCTCTCTCTCTCTGACAAATAAATAAATAAATAAATAATCTTAAAAAAAATGACAGATCCAAGAAAGCAGAATGATTGGATAAGGATATGGGTACAAGGAATGATAGGGATACAAAACAAAAATCTTTTCTAAATTTCACAGACTGATCAAGTGAAAATATGCCATTAATATCAATTATATACTATTAAAGAACGACAGTGGTTTCAAATTTTTGTCTTTTTCTTTCTTTCTTTCCTTCTTTCTTTCTTTCTTTCTTTCTTTCTTTCTTTCTTTCTTTCTTTCTTTCTTTCTTGAGACAGAACATGCAAGCCATTTGGGGTGGTAGAGGGAGAGGGAGAGAAAGAATCTTAAGCAGACTCTGCACTGAGCATGAATCCCAACACAGGCTCGATCTCACAACACTGAGATCATGACCTGAGCTGAAATCAAGAGTCGGACACCTACCTGACTAAGCCACCCAGGCGCCCCGTACCTATCTCTTTCTAAAATGAACAAAAACAAATGTTACTGAAACTCAAACATGAAAGCTGATAAGTGGTCCACGGCTGCTATGTTACATTTCTCCAGAAACGGAATCAGTAAATGGGAGGAGTAGAACAAACCACTGGAGCGCTGTCCAGCAGTAACGTAACATGAGCCACACACATCATTTGAAATTTTCTAGTGATCCCATTCAAATGGTAAAAAATACATTAGGAGAATTTAATAATACATTTTATTTACCCCAATGTCTCTACATATTTTTACTTTAATATGTGATCAATATTTATCAACTATTAATGAGACAGTCTACATTGTTTTTTGTTTTTATTTTTGTTTGGAAGCGTTTTCATTTTTTGTTTGTTTGTTTAGAGGGAGAGAGAGAGAGGCAGAGGGAGAGGGCAAAAGAGAATCTCAAGCAGGCTCCACACCCAGTGCGGAGCCCAGCATGGGGTTGGATCTCAGGACCCTGAGATCATGACCTGAGCCAAAACCTAGAGTTGGACACTTAACCGACTGAACCACCTAGGCGCCCCTTTTCTACCATCTTTAAATCCAGTGTGTATTTTATGCTTACAACACATCTCAGTCTAGATGCTAAGTTTTCAGCCGCTGCGATAAACTGCAGTCCTACCGAAACAACTGTGTTTAATGGAAAAAATATTTTACACATCTTCAATTTTATTTTAAAATTTCAATTTAAACCATGTAAAATGAGCCCGTTGAGTACAAACTCAGGTCCTGTCACTCTAGCCACATGTCAAGGGCTCAGTGGGAGTTTCTCTTCCACTTGATGGTACATGAGAGAAATTCAGACGCTTTAGTCTGAAGGGACGGTGGCTGAGAGGATCTGTGTTTGGTGTCCTGAGAAGGTGAACGATGATTCATGCACGAATCCCGAGATGTCTTGACAAGAGCAGTCCTTTAAATGTTGAAAGAGAGAGTCTTAAGGCAAAACAGAGGAAGGCAGGGCTTTACCCCCAGGCAGGAAGCCCTCACCTCCTCAGCTTGCTCCAGGCAGGTGGAAAGCAAGCGGGGTCCAGACAAAAGTGACGGATCACAGGTCTGTGAGTAGACTGTGGGGAAGCTGGAATGGCTGTTGTGGAAGCTCTTTGAGAAGGCCAGGTGCTTTTCTCAGAGCAAAATGAGGGCGGAGCTAGGTACGTGTGAGGAAGAGAAAGCCAGGCAGGCTTTGTCACTCATTCTTCCCAGGAAGGACCCGCTTGGGGCCACTGGGGTTCCCAGGTCTTTGATTGTAGACTGTGTCTTCCCCACAGCCTTTTCTGTCCTATGTTTACCGTCAGCATCTGGAGAGCTAACCGGAGACCATCGAAGGCTGAAACTCTAGGGATCTCACCTCTGAGCCCTTTTTGTCCACTTCCAACCTCTGTAAACACATACCGTCTTTGGGAAATGATCGGAGGGATCTTTTAGTCTCTCTAAAGTTTAACTTCCAGGCTGGAGCACAGTGCTAGGCAAGAGCAGTTGGGATGTTGGTAAATGGAGCCAGGAAAATGGCCCCCTTCATGGCAGCTGCCAGTCATCGTTGGGGATGGGATGCACGTTGTGGTGATATTTTTGATGTAAGGCACAGTCGGTCCCAGCATTCAAAAGTATCCACAGATCTGTGCTCTGTTCTTCCGGATGTCTAATATTCAAATTGGAATTTTGCTCCTCCATCCGCTTCCTTCTAGTTATATCGGCAGGAAGAGGATGCAGGTGAAAGAGCCCGAGAAAGCGGTACCCAATGTGGGAAATCTGGTCGAAGCTGACTACTCCTATTGGACGCTGGGCTACGTCATCTCTCTGGAAGGAGCACAGAAGCTGGTTGGAGCCGATCCCTTTGGGAAGATGCTGCCAGTGGACGAGTTCCTGCCAATCATGTACAACAAGCATCCTGTGTGAGTCTCCCCGCACTGCCTGCCCTTTGAGGGCTCACCCCGCTCATATATCGTGCTCCTCGGATTCTTGGTAGTGCGTGGTATTTTCTAAAGCATGCCCTGCTTTCCTAAATGATCTTTCCATAATCACAACTCAGAGAGTCTGACTGGAGTGACTATCCCCTTGTACAGATGGGGAAGCTGAGGCTGAAATGGCAAGTCTTGCGTGGCAGCCCTCTGTAATACCCCGTGTGTAGTTTACCTGGACATAATGTGCTCGGTCCTCTCCTTGTTTTGATCTTCTTATTTCCAAAAACTCATATACCTGAAGGTGAAGGTCATCTTCCTGAGCATCTTCAAGTGTTCAGTTCATTTCTCAGTCCATTGTGTGTACTTGTTGGGCAGGCAAGGGTCCCCCTCCCTGCAGAGCTTACAGTCTGGTCGGGAATTCAGACTCATGAACGGTCCTCGTGATGTACTGTGAGACCTGCAATCACAGAGAGGTGTTAGAGGCTCGGGGAGGGTGGAGGTGGCCCCTGAGCAGGGTATCTATGGAAGAAGGCAGTGTGACGCTCAGGGTTCCCCTTACGCAGGAGCTTACTCTGACCTAGCGTTGTTTGATGGGTGTGGAGATGGGTGGTTTACCGGTCAGTCTCCCCACTAACCTGTGAGCCCACCGAGGCAGGAACAGTCTCACATCCCTGTGTCCTGAGAACCTAGTCCCAACTCTACCAATAATAGCTGCTCAATCAATGAGTCCTAAATTCATTAGTGGAGCAGGAGACCAGATTCTAACCTGGGCTCCTTCTCTCAGTTGCCGGGTGATCTCCTTACTAGCTGGGCTTCATTTTAGTGGTTGAGAATTCCTGTCCTTCATCTGGCTCATTTGGTCTCCTGTCCTCAGCAAAGATGGATCTCCTCACCGTCTTTGGTACAGCTGACTGTATATCCGTGTCCTAGCAGGAACATGGAGGTCAAACATCATCCCTGTAACAGAAAGGAAACCAACTGCCATGGTGCACTGAGTGAGCTCAGAGCCAAGCAGATGTCACCTCGTGTAATCTGCACAGGAGCCCTGGGGTCGGGGCAAGTCGTCCTCCCCTTTACACTCACGGGGAGCTGGGATGCAGAGCCAAGCCGGCATGCCTCCAAGCTTACACCGTGTGACTTATCCCACCACTGCTGTCCAGATCTCAACTAATTTATTCATCCAAGAACAGGGCATCTCCCACAAAGTGATCACATTGATCTCTCGTGATGGTCCAACAGAGCTTAATTCTCAGCTTTTAGAGTAAGACCTGAAATTCATGTTTTAAACGAGCCCAACCAAAAACAACAGAAATATCCTGACCTTTCTCTTTGTGTGTTTGTTTAGATCATCTGAAAGCTTGTAAAGAAACTTTTATTGTGTTTGTAGACTAAACTTTTCCCCAAAGGACACAACTTTACAAATCATCAAAGGCCTCCACGGCAATGTAAGAGATGACCAGCAGGACCCCTCTGCTCTTCCCCCGCCACCCCCTGTCCCCGTTCGCTAAATGCCCTACCCCCTCACACACCTGCACTCCTCTTGTTTGCAGAGCTGAGTACAAGGAGTATTACGAATCCAGGGACCTGAAGGCCTTCTCTGCGGAACCCTTGCTCATCTACCCCACACACTACACAGGCCAGCCGGGGTATCTGAGTGACACGGAGACCTCGACCATCTGGGACAATGAGACAGTGGCCACCGACTGGGACAGGACCCATTCCTGGAAGTCCCGGAAGCAAGGTCACATCCACCGCAACGCCAAGAACACAGAGGCCCTGCCATCACCAACCTCCCTGGATGCTGTGCCTTCGAGGGATGAGCTATGAAGGCTCTGTGGGGGATTCACTACCCTTGATTTTTCTAACGGGCTATTCATTTGTTTGCTCCAGTTTCTTCTAGTGGTCACAGTCCTCTAACCAAAGTGGTCTACTGTGATTGAGCAAAATTAATATATTCTTGACAGGGGAGGATAAGAAGGAAACTTAACCCAAATTTCCTAAGATGGCTAGAAGATAGGCTTTATGGCAACCATCAAGATAAACTTCAATCCAGATACCTAGCCCTTCAGTCTTTATTCGTGTGGTACTGCTTCCTACATTAAGGATGAACAGCATGGCCCAGAGACTCATCCCTGAGAAAGTAGTCACATCAATAAATGGGCGGGCAAGGCAGTCGAGCCAACTGGACCACATCCGTTGGTCTCATGTGACCTTGAAAACTTGTGTATGTAACAAGTTTGCGAGGGAGGGGGATCAAATCATTTAAAAGCAAATTAATTGGGCTTTGGTTTAAAAGAATTCTCTCATGAGCCAAAGTGAGCTGTTCATCTTAGTCCTCGTTATCCAAGAGGGATCCAATATTTGGGTCTGTCTGAGACTTGGCCTTTGACTATCATGGCAACTGAAGGTCTCCTAAAGAGGTGTCAAGTTTGCCATGTGGGTAGAGTTTAGTAGATATTTGAAGGTTTGTGTAGATATTTGAGAAAAAAAAGAACTCAGACTTTGGCCTTGTATTGTGGTCACTTGAGTTAGGATGCTCTATTTATGAAGATAAATTTAATATATAAAGGGGTTCGGGCTGGTGTCTAACTCATGTTCCAGGGGGCTCTTTGCTGCTGCGACATGTCACGCTCTCCCCTCCATGCCTGAGCCTGGGAACGAACTGGGAGTGTGAGTTTTATGAGTCACTGTTAAGAGGCAGAGCACGTTTTCAGGCCAGCAACTGTCCTTGCCTGGGTTTTCCATTCTATTTTGAATTATTTATTCTACAAAATGTGGGGAAAATGTAAGATAAGGCAGAGAAACAGATTTTTCAAGCTTTCATAGCACCCTGGGGAGTAGTGAGTGTGTGATCTGGTTCTCCTGCATTTCCCAGCCTGGCTCTTGCAGGGAGGCCTGTGGAGTGGGAGATTCTCACCATCTGGAAACAAATGCTTTTCCATTTCAGTATATGTGCTGCCGAAGCGAGCACAATGCTTTTCCATTTCAGATGACAGACCTTGGTCAGAAACAATGGACCGATCCACTGATTTAGGCCAACATCCAGGGAAGCTCTCGGAGTCAGCGCCCTGGGCAGATGACCTCCCCGCTTTCCTCAGAGAGTGATTTTCTGGAAAGTGCAGTGTTGGGCTACATATTCTCTGCCAATTCCACAGTCTGTGTTCCTCAGATATCTCATGATGGTTTGCCTCAGGTCTGTGTTCGCCCGCCTGCAAGCAGTCAGACTTTGCCTCCAGAAATACCCTCCACACATTCCTCCCTGAGCTTCACGCTTTGGAGCAGAGCCCACGGGCAGGGTTGCTGCGTGAACCCAGCTCAGTGCTCCCTGGTGAGGGCCCCCAGGCTGTAGGACAACAAGGCAGCTCGCCTTCCACAGAACACCGGCCTCAGCCTTCCTGCTTGACTTATCGTCGATGCTCTTCCACATTGACTAGTAAGCAACGAGGCTGAGGAAGGGGATCTCAGCTGACCTCAGTCTTTACTGCTTAGACATACCTGTCAGAGCCTTTTTTTTTTTTTTCTAGAAAAACAGAAAGAGCATCTGGGGAGCTAGTGAAAAACCCTTGGGTGATCCCTAAGGTTTCCTTGGGTATTTTGTATTTTGTTTGCATATTTGAGTGCGTGCCAGTGTGCCTGATGTTCACGATATATTTTTTTAATAGGGTGGGAGGTGGTCGGGAGATTGGCAGTGGAGAAAGATTGAGTTGACTTTTGTGTGGTTTTGTTTAATAGAGAACTTTTTTTTTCCTTTTGCTGTCAGCTGGTCTGATGGGTTTATGAATTCTCATTCTTAAAAGGTATTGGTCTTAAATTCTAGAATTTTAGATTAGGACTGTTCTACTGTGAATAAAGTTCTGGCTCTGTCAGCACAGCCTTTGCTTCCACCTGCTCGGGTCTGGGATCCAAGCAGCGCTCTTTTGTTGTGAACATTGTGCTCCGCACACACCCGCATCTGTTTTTAAAAAGTCGTCCCTTCAACAATCCTAGGGTACCTTGACCGCATTATTCTTCCTGCATCCCCTCTAGTCTTAAGTCAGGACATTTGACCTTTGCAGCGTCAGAGGCCTTTGCCTCCGCCATGGCACCTGCTCTTTGCCTCTGGAAGTTTAACCCAGTCTGGAATCCCGATCTGGATCCCTCTCTGGGTCTCGGGATCCAAGGTGGGATCTTCTGGACGATGAGCCTGACTTCAGCAGTGCTGGTACTGCTGAGAGTGGACTGAGCACCTACAATTTGCAGAGGACACATTCCCCGGCCCTGCTTTGGGTTCCCTGGGCCCTCCTGCAGGAACTCTGGAGGACGAGAAAGAGCCGGCATCCCAGCATCCTACACTGCCTATTACGCCGTGTCATTTCAGGGAGGGGAAATGATAAACTACTTGCCTTCTAGAGATCTTTGTGAAAAATTAAAAAAAAAAAATAGCTCAACACTGTGATTGTTTACTGGTTCTGCCAACACTGACCAATGGCCAACGCTGCTGGACCCTCCCAGACCTTGGCACTGGACCAAGGATGTCGGAGGCCAGAGATGACCATCAGTGCTGCTCACCCCCATGGCAGACAAGAAAAGGTGGTCACCGACTTTCCTGTTCAGTGGGAGTTGTTTTAGACTGCTGGGGAGAGGTGGGTAAGTGGAAAAACTTTCTAGGCTGGAGAAAGATAGGAGTCCCCAGTGGAAGGGTGGTAAGGGAGGCCCCATCTTGTAGTTTTGTGCTATAGGTCAGTCTAACCATTCATTGAAAGATACCAGCTTGTCCAAGGCCAAAGAACCTGATCCTGGGGCAAAAAAAAGAGAGAGAGAGAAAATCCATGTTGGCCTCTGTGACCCCTCAAATTTCAGATCAAGCTTCCCCCAAACCAGGTGTGAGCACTGCCTTGTTTCAGGCCCTGCGCTGGGCACTAAGATGCTCAGAGGACGAGGGAAGATCCCCACTGCTGGGGGGTCCACAGGCCGGTGGAGCAGCCATGCAAGCAGGAAGGCTTCATTTCAGAGGCAGGAACAAAATTGTAGGACCTCAGAGAACCCGCTTCTGCCCAAGAAGACTGTTGGTGCAGCTTTGCTGGGAAGGTGGCCGGGAAGGTGACAGTTGTGTTGGCTGTGGGGGCGTGAATGGGCACTTAGAGAGGAGGGTTGGGTCTGGTGGGTGGTGATGCTTTCTAGGCACTGCAAAGGTGTGGGGCTAGGAAGGGGCCTGCTGGGGAGGGATGGGGGACTGGAGGTTCTGACAAGTCGGGGATGTGTTGGGGTAGGTGACAGGAAACAAGATTGAGACCCAATCACGATGGCAAGGTATGTCAGCCACCCTCCCTCCCTGGGTTATCATCTGTTATGAATACAGAGGCCATTGTTTCTGGGGGAATTCTAGGTTTGGTTACTTTCCTGACAAACAGTGCCAAGGTTTCCAGGAAAACGCTGGTGCCTAAAACAAGAGAAGTTCCCATTCAGCTACAGACTTGGGGATCTTTTCCCTTATGGTGAAATAAAGTGTAAAATAAAGGTGAGTCTTCCCAAGAGGTTCCTACAGTGTGCTTTTTAGACATTCTCCCCGAGTAGAGTAGTAGAGAAATGATCCAGAAGTGATATCCATGAATGGAGAACCTGGGTGGCACATTCGGTTGAGCACCCGACTCTTGATCTCAGCTCAGTTCTTGATCTCGGGGTTGTGAGTTCGAGCCCCACGTTGGGCTCTGTGCTGGGCATGGAGCCTACTTCAAAAAAAAAAAAAAAAGTGATATCCACGATTGACAAGAGATCAGCTCACTGAGGAGTTAACTAATGACAAGGGGAAAGTCACAATGAGGCTGGTCATTCGATGAGAAAGTAGTTGTCATGGGTGACGGGAAACAAAGAATAGGCAGCTTTGGAGAGAATCATTATGCGCGTGTTGTATGTTTTGGGGTGAGGTTTATTATTTTAGAGAGAACCTTCCCTCCCAGGGCGTTCTGATTAAATGTGGCAGAGGCAGGAGGGCCAGGAGAGGGCAGTGGCCTGTGAGGGACTCTGTGCGCAGGCTGATGGCGGCCTCGAGTCCGCACGGGGCAGTGAGACCAGGGTGAAGAGTCTGACGCGTGGTGGCCAGGAAGTCCTTTCTGGCTGGTTGGAAAAGAGAGAAAGCACACTTTGTCACACCCGCAGGGTGTGAAGGCAGCCTGGAAAAGCCTCGGCCGCGGCCGGTCTGGGGAGAGGCTGACTGCGGGCAGCTCGCGGGGGCCGGCGGGCCCGGCGCCATGATGGTGGGAGCGACCCGCTGGTGCGAAGCCGCCCCGTCTGAGCTGAGGGTCCCTCCCGGGAAAGAGCTGGGCCGCCACACACAGCGGGCGGGGGCTCCCGCGAGGGCCTCCACTGGATTCCTTCTGCGGTTGGGGACAGTCTTCTCACCAGGAGGCCCGCTCCCTGCTGCTCCGTCCTCCCTCCTCTGTGCTCCCCCGGGGAAGGGGCCCTCTGTGCCCATGGCCCTGGTCAGGGACGATTTCACCGCACAAGGAGGTGCTGCTGTTCCACAGGCACGGGGTGGGGGGCGGGCAATGGGCCTCCGGCCTTTTCCTCTGGTTCCTCGGCAGGCCCTTCAGCTCAGCAACACCTCGGTCACTGTGAGCACCGGGCGCTGCCACGTCCACTCGAAAGCTCCCCTGTATGATTTTCCCCTCCGGCTCCCTCCCTACTTCTCCTGGCAGGTGCCCGGCCTCACTCCCTCTGCTGCGGGGCCTGAACTTGTCTTTTGCTCCCTGGTCCTCGCACCTCTCTCCTGGGCTCTGTGTGCCATGGCCTGGAAGCCACCTCTTCCCCCTGCCCTCAAATTCCCCGTCCACCCCCACGCCCCTCTGCACAGGGCTTCCTCTCTGGGGCCAGTCTGAACAGTAATAGCCCCTTCGAGTCTTCACAGTCAGGGCTGGTGGTTTCCAAAGCAACTAAGACCCTGCAGATCACACCATCAACCTTCAGACATCTCAACTCCTGCCAGGGGGGCGCGGTGGGGGCTTCTCTAAACTGCCAGTTGTATTTTGGGAGAGGACACGTTGTCGTCGATTATTTTCTAAGCTTCTCAGAAGACCAGAGAGAGGGTGCTATCCACTACACTCTGAAAATCAAGTCCCCCCCTGAGCAAGAGCCCAGATGTCTGTCCAGCCTCACCCAGGATGGGAAACATCCGGGGAGCCCCCCTCTGGACCACCAGGGGCTGCGAAGCTGGCCCCAGAATTGCTCCGACGTGAGATTTTATGAAAACGCCCATTCCAGAGGCAGCCAAGCTGAAGAAACTACAGGGAGGGACATAAAAATAAACCCAGCAAATTAAAAATCTAGACAAAACCAATGCTCCGAGGCAATTCTTTGTTCTTTCCACCCTTTTTGTGCAGCTCAGCTGGTGTCACCCAGGCGACCTGTTTCTTTTCTCACTAACATCCAACGTGTCTATCTGTCTGTCTCTCACACACAGAGCCCAATACACAATGGAGCTGGCAGCGCCAACCCCAGATCTATGAAATCTCATACATTGATTATTAGCTGATCAAACTTGATTCCTTGATGACATTTTGCTGGAGGCTTGCGTGTCAATGAGGATCACAAATATATGTCTGGGGGTGAGCTAACGGTCTCATTTAGAATGCTTCTCCCATTTTGAAAATGGTGCCTTGATTTTTTTTTTTAATGGCTGCAGCAATCCAGAAGTTTATTCACTTTGTTAAAAAGTTTGATTTACTGGTAACCTTTGTGTAAGAAATTGGAACTGTACCACAAACTGTTGCTTTGGGATTAAACAATGGTGGGAATAAAAATGATTGCTTCTGAGAAGCCTAAGATAAAGGACTTGGGTACTGATAACTGGCTTACAGAGAGGCTGAGCCCAGTTCCAGTGCTCCTGGATGGCACCCAAGCCCTGGTCACATCCACTCCTCCTTTAACTCCTCATCCAGTTGGCTCTTCCTGCAGGAGACTCTTCCTCTGCATCCACCCCATCCCCCAGTTGTGTGTGTGGGGGGGGGTGTGCAAGTTCATGGATCAGCAATGGATTCCAGCCCTAGCTGGGGATCAAACTCTCAATGTCCTCCTGGTCCTTACGGCTTTGCTTCCTCAGCTGTGAGATGGAATAATGCCCGGGAAAACAGGTAGCAGTGCTCTGAGCAGCCGCAGGATGTTCCTTGGAGACTTTAAAGAAACCACCAGATGCCCATCGAACCAAGACAGCTTGTGTGAATTCTCATCCTCAGAAGGCTGGGAATGGAGCCAACAGACCCACACTCCAGGCATTCTCTTCCATTCTATGAGACTGTGAAGGAATATCTGCCAAGAGAGCCTCCTGGATTCGGTGCCAGCCCAGTGTGGCATGCACACAACGGGGTTCTGATAACTCAGAGCTTTGCCCCCTAACCTTGGGCTACTGACTCGACTGCTCTGGGCCTCGGCCCCCATACGTGTAATCTGAGGGGACTGACTGCAATTTATAAGATGGCTTCCAACTCTTAAGGAAATATGAAATTCACTGGATTCCTCAAACTGTTAGATAAGTGAATTGCTTCCTCAGTTTTCTGGGTAGGGATGCTGAGAAACCACACCAAGTCCTGGATTTCAACATCCGAGCCTACAAGAATTAAATTTGCCTGGCTTCTATGTCATCTCAGATGAAGGAGATGGAAGAGCGGCAAGATGGACGCTGCCCGGGTCCTGGAGCCACTGTGAGGGCAGAGCCCCTCCGGAGAGCTGCCCGATTTGCAATATACCATGACGGGACGAAGCATAAAACTGTCGTTAAGTTACTGAGGTTTCATGGTTTTTTACTTCAGCTCAACCAAACCTAGCCTAACCCATCCCCTCTTCCAGAAGAACTTTGTTCTCAGATTCTAGGGGAAACGGCAGTGCAAAGCATGATGGAAG